CGTCACCGCCTTATATAATTTATATTAAAAAAGTATTTATAATTATATATTATAATTAATATTAATTTAATTAATATTAATATTAACTTATATTAATATAATATAGTTTATAATTTGTAATTAATATTAATATAAAATATAGTCTATAAAATTAATATTAATATAAACTATATGTTATAAATTATATAGTATAGTTTATAAACTATAGTTAATATAATTAATATTAATATAGTATAGTTTATAAACTATATATTATATTAATATAAATTATAGTTAAGATAATTAACATTAATATAAACTATAGTTTATAAATTATATACTTAGGTTATAAAGTATAAACTATATAGTACACTAATATAAACTATTGTTTATAAACTATAAATTACATATATAGTTTATATAACATATAAATAGATTGTATATATACATATACTATATGTTATATATATATATAGTTTATATATAGTGTACATAGTTTATACATACATGTACTATAAGTTACATATATAGTTTACATGTATACATATACTACAGGTTACACATATTAACTATTGTTTGTGCATAATGTTTAGGGCTTATAGTTTAGGGTTTATATTTTAAGGTTTATGATTTATGCACATTGTTTAGGGTTTAAGGTTTTAGGGTTTATATAAACTATATATTTTATTACTTTATATAGTTTATGCATAATTTTTCTATAAACTATATAAGTACTTTACTTTATATATAGTTTATATATACTATAGATAGTTTATACATACATGTACTATAAGTTACATATATAGTTTACATGTATACATATACTATAGGTTGCATATATTAACTATTGTTTATATACTATAGGTTAATGTTACATATATAATTTATATAAATTATTGTTTATATAAATATATAAATTATATATAAATTATCAACTGTCTATACATATACAATGTATAAAGTTTAGGGTTTAGGGTTTCTATAAACTATATACTTTATTACTTTATATAGTTTATGCATAGTATTTATATATATATATATATTACTTATATTAGTTCACATACATATATATATACTATATTAATATAAATTATAATTTATAAACTATATATTTTATACATATATAGTTTATATATATATATATATAGAAAATTAAAAGTAATTAGAATGTCTATATGATTAAATTGAATTGAATTGAAAATTCAAGAAGATATTTACAATTAAACCATGACTAAAATGAAAGAAATCAAAAATCAAATATAAGTGGAAAAATGATGATTGTTGGAGGATCATGAGCCTAATTAACCCAAAATATTTTGTTAGACACTATCATTGGCGCCAACTTCCCAAATTTTTATATTCCTCTAAATTTCTCAATTTCCCTCTAAATTTCCAAATAAAATCAAATATTTTTCACACAAAAAATATTTCTTTTACACAAAAAAATATTTCTTCCACCACTCACTTTGAATAATATATATATATATATATATTAATATAAGTTATAGTTTATAAACTATACACTTTTTATAGTTTATACATATATAGTTTATATATATAATTCACATAAACATAATTTTTATACATAGCTTACAATAATTATATAATTTATAATATAAATATAGTTTATATATATATTATATATATATATATATATATATATATATATTATTTTTTTAAATTTTTTAAATGAATTAAATTTACTATTTCATTATTTCTTCACATTTTGCATTTATTTCGATTTAATCCTTTTTTGTTTTTTAATTTATTTCAATTTCAAGTCTTTCACTTTTATATGTATTCAATTTAGTCCTTAAATTTATATTTGCATATTCCAGTTGTTATTTATTTATATTTTTGTAACTGGCCCATAATTTTTAAATGTGTTTATTTAGTCCTTTTTATATTAATTTAAACCTCACATTTTAAATTTATTTCGATTTAGCCCCTTACCTATGTGTGTTGTTTAATTTATATTTTAAGTTTTATTTGTAATTTTACATTTCTTCAATTTTGTTATTAAATTTATATTTTTTTACAAAATTGATCCATGAATATTTATTTTTCTCTTAATTTACTCGAAATCATATAAAATTACAACTTGCAATTCATCAATCACGAAAGATGACAAAATAATTAATCCAAAAAATAAAAACGACCCGACCTGAACTCAATCCATATCCGTAAACATCCGACTGAATTTTATCTGTCCATGATGTGACCCGATCTGAACGAGATTCGACTGAAGTCCACCCGAACCTGAATTAACATGGTCTTTATCTGCTTCGGACCTGAACTGACATCGATCCGAACTGAAAATGACCCGACCTGAACCCGATCTGGATCTGTGTCAAATCAACCTGAGTTGACTTGTACCTGATTTTACCCGACCTACCAAGATCCGACTGAAACCTAACCGATTACCTGATTTTACAGCCCTACTTTGAACAGATAATTCCAAGAATGTTAGGTAAATGCTCAAGTATTTGTTTTCATGAGGAAAGAGTCTATTTGTTTATCTTATTAAAAGGTTACAACAAGACAAACAGTTATTAGCTCAAGTGGATTAGTTAGAACAATAACAAATGCATATACTAATCGCAACGATATCTGCCTTCTCAATCTCAAATACATATCAAATTGCCTGTCATAACTCCATTGGTGGGTACTCGATACTTCGACTTGTTTACAAACACCACATACACAAAGCTTTTCTAAACTCTCCATCTCTCGTATTTTTTACTCACGTCCATACATCTAAAACTAACGGAATATATATATATATATATATATATATATATATATATAGAGAGAGAGAGAGAGAGAGAGAGAGACTAGTTAACCGACTCATTGAATCTTCTAAAAGCTCCCACTTCATCTCTCGTATTTTATCATTGTTTTATCCACACACGTTTGCTCAAGTCGTCGTTCCTACACCTCAAAAGAAAATGCATATTCGATTCATACAAGGAAAATTCTCCATTATTCACCAATAAACACAAGACATGCCTAACAAGTAACACTTTGATATAGCTCAATGATATAGCAATACCACCATGGGAATTTCATTTGCTTCTATAATTTACAGTGTGTTAAAAAAAACTTTGGGAATTTACATTCACTACCAAAAAAAATAAACAAATGGAGCCATTTCACATCTCAGAGAAACATATAGAGCTTAGGCATCAAGAATTAACATCACTAACCATTACAAGTTTAGGAAAATGTCAATTCTAAATTTTTAACGCATATCCCATAACAAAGGGTGACAAAAAAGGGTTCTTACTCAAATCGATGTCAGTGTCAGATCTTATGAGTGCACACAATTGCCCTTCAAGCAAGCAGAGGAAAACTTGCTCAGTCTGTCTCCATATGTTGGGTTAAACATGTATCAGTCCTTCAATTTAACTCTCCCTTAGAAAGTAATGTACGTCGGACTTTGAACCAGTCAAGCTTTCTGGACGATCTGACACTAATTTCCCCCCCCCCTTTCTTCAGACATATAGCTGATCATTGAGTCATCCGTTGTATGTAATTTGCCAACTGGGGCGACCTGAACAAGCATTTCATGAATAATAAATGTGAGATTTCTAAAACATGAAACATCATTGAATAACTCAAATCTTGTTTACACATCTAAGTCACAAAGTTTAACATTACTTGGAAGTTACTTGAAGCATTAAGCACTGTCGACATCTTCAAGCGTTTTGCCCCCGACATACAACCAGTCTTTTCTTCTTGGTATTCATCCACAAAATTCTGATCTGAGGCCTCTATAAAAGACCAAATGCTTCAGTTAAAATAAACACAGAACAACCAATGGCAAAGGAATAGTATAAACGAAATAATACAAACATGATCCTCTCAAGGAACATTCAAAGGAAAAGTATCCAATGGCAAGAAAATCCTCAACTCACAGATACAAAGGAAGTCAACAGGTGGCTACCTTACAAGGAATTAGAGATGCTTAATCACAAACCAATTGGATGATTTTTTATAGTAACCCATTCAGAAACCCCAGACAATACGCAAGAAAGAAAGATCTATGGCTAAAACTGATAAAATATAAAGCTCCAAATCCCTTTTAGTACTTTAACTCATCTTCCCCATATAAACACTTGTTTCACAGAAACATTTTAGGATCCATAAACAGATGACCCAACGTCTAAAAGACTATAGGTAGTTGGTGCTTTTACCAAACATTTACTATGTTCCTGTCATTTCTTGTATAAGCTCAAAACCTTACTACAATTATCGAGATGTTTTAACTGCCCAGCTCTTGTTATATATAGCAGGGTTCCTCTAGCAAGCCATTCATAAAAGTTTCCTTTCAACTTATTACTGCAAAACCTGATCATTTCATTACGTTCCTTTCAGCCTGATCTTACTGAAACAAAAATACCCCACATGGCATCTCTGCAATTTGAGTCTGTTTGGATGAAGTGTGGGGCCACCCCTCCACACCACATGTGCCTCTCAACCCAACAAGTACTTCATCCAGTCTATTCTAATCCAAAAAATAAAATAATATCGTCTGTTGGTCCTCCCTCCTTCAAAATCCATCATTTCTAGTAACAAACAACGCAATTGAGATGCACAGACACAAACAGTACATTCACTGTGAAATTTGGAGGCAGTGCAGACAAAGGTAAGCTCACAAGACTTAAAATATGTAAGATCAAGTTGCTTTCACAAATCATGAAAAGTCTAAATAGAGAGAAAGATAGCCTAAGCATACAAGACTTCACTGGTGTCAAACCATTAAGTCAGAAACAGAACCCATAAAGTTCCATGACCATGAAACATCTCCATCAAAAGCATACTAGGAGAAGAAAACATGCTTGTGTTAGGAAATTTCCAGAAAATTACAGCATGCGCATGAGGAAGTGCAATGGTTAAAAGCATGCGCATGAGGAAGTGCAATAGTTAAAAGCATGCACGACTAGTATGGAATATGGAAACTCAAAATAGATGTGAAGGGGGCGGGGGGAAGAGAAAAATGTGCTATCAGATTGAGGCTTTTAAGTAGATTTACCAGCGGTGTAGCTATCCAGGTTGTGATTGCACGAATCAAAGATGGGATTCTGCTCTGAATTTACCGCTGATTTGCAAGAAAAGTTTGCACTATTTCTCAAGTAGATTCCATCATTGGGAACCACAGTTTCTCTAGGAACAGGAAATGTAATGCTTCTTTTGTCTGCAGACGTAAACTTACCTAACATTGGACTTTCCATGACAGCACCAGATTCAGCTGTGCTTTCCAAGAAATGGTCATGGTTCTTATAGTTCATCTTCTGGCCATAGCCATCTCGTAGTACTGAAAACTGAAACGAAAATGGAAGATAAATATTGAAGCAAGGCAGTTAATTGAAATATAACCCTAACGAGAAGAAGGCACAAGTAGATTAAGTGTTCGACCTGATGAGAAGAATGATGTCCTTCTGGTGGCTGCTGTGGGAATGGACATTGTTCCCACATTCCCATTTGTTGGTGACAGCCACACAAACTTTTAGAATAATGCAACTTCTTAACAAATGATGCTTCTAAGAAATCAAGATAAGAGTTGTGCTTCTCATTTGTCCAAACCATAGTTTTTCCCTGCTACATTAAAAATTAAAATAACATAGGAAAAGATTAAAGTTGAACCACGAAGAAAAGAGAGCTTTAAAATAAAGAGGAAAAGAGAAAAATTGAATACAACATATTGCATGCAGGGGGAAAAAAATCAAACCATTTATACAAGGCTAATCAATAAAGAAAAATGGATTCCTACAATAAGATAAGAGGACAATCTTTAACTTGCCATCAAATCCACAGGGACTCGAATAGCTGAAGTATGATTCTGCCAGTGTGGATATTCGAAGAAGAATGGAAAAGATATTCCAAGAAGATAGAAAGGGAAATTTGAATGAAGAGAAAACCTGAGTTCTGTTCGTATTGCTTACTTGAAAAATGAAAAACCAGCATGCTTTTACAGGGTGAGAATTACAAAAGTAGAATTTAACTAGGTATCTTTCTCTTAACTTTTATCTCCTAAGAAAACTTATCTTCTAAAAAGGTAAAACCTTATACCAAGTAAATTAGAACTTAGAATTTAAGATAAACAAAAACTCATTTTCTACTAGTTTTTTTTAATAAAATAGGGGAGGTCTCATTAAAAACCCCCTTCATAATCGTCGAAATACCGTAAGTTGTCTCAACGGACATTGGAAGGAGGAAAGGAGTACCTCAATTTTATTACCAAACTGCCAAAATTACAAAGGATACACGGATCCTACAACGATAACAAACACCCAACAACATGGTCCAAACCTCCTATAGACAGCCAAAACAACACAATAGACTACAATAGAACTATTAACCAATTCCCAACTTTGCAAGTTCATCAGCCTTCCAATTAATACATCTCTGGATATGTTTGACAATTACATTTCGATCCACCACCTTAGCACAAAGTTCCTTCACTAAAGACACAAACAGGGCTGGGCATGAACCAGGATTTTTTATCCACTCTAATGCCTTAATACAATCACTCTCCAGAATCAGTATTTTTTAAATCACGACAGCTTTACACAACCAGGTTCTACCCAAACCATGCTGACCTTTTCGGATTTATCAGATAGATTTTATTATAGGAAACAGATGAAAAAGGTGCTGACAGATACTTTAACCCTAGGTCAGAAGCACTAGTTGATGACCAGGAGGAAATTGCAATTCAAACTAAGGAATCCAGAAATGCAATGCTAAAAACTACATGAGGAACTTGGAGATGACAGGAGAATAAAAGCTGCTGATGATAAATTTACTGATAGAAAACAACTAATGAACACGACAAATTTGAGGCATTCTACAGGGAACCTAACTACCTCTTGCAGAACACTATCTTATATACGAAATTGAACAAGGAAATGACGGTCTTGTACACAAATAGAGGGCACTAGAGCATGCTAAAACTCTAGAGGGAACTAGATCCCAAGGGTCATAAACAACAAGTAGAAACATTTTCTTCATCAAAAAGGCAAACAAGAGATCTTTATAACAAGCAAGGATCCATAGAAATACCAAAGCGTGGAGGAGGATCAACTAAAACAAGTTTAATAATCACTTAATCCAAGTGAAAAACATCTACTTCCATTTAGGATGTCTTAATACCCCATGTAAATCAAAAGCTTAGCCTCGGACAAAGAGAATGGTGCATAAGTTATTTTCCCAAAATCCTAGCATTAGCTTCATTATCTCATATAAAAAAGAATGAGGATATCCCACATCATCGACCCAACCTTTTGCTTCAATCTACCATTTTATTTGCATACCTGTTTAGAAAGATGAGATGCTTTTCCAATGGTAAATACTTAATATAAACTTCAGATTTTACTTCAATAAAATTTCCTCAAATATAAAAGAACAAGAAAATGTAACCAATGTTAAAATATAATGCCAAAACTACCACTGACCAATCTCGAACAAAAATGTAACCAATTCTATGTTCTAAATAGAACCAGAAAATAGATGTTAAAACCTACATCCAGCCTTCAATTACACTATAAAATTATCAGAAACTAAATCTTCGTTTCGAAAGAACAATAAAAACAAACGCCAAATTAACAAATTAAGACACCTTTATTATCAATATCATCTTGTAGAGGGAACAAAGGGTTGCTATGTTCTCTCAAGTTCATTTGGTACGCTAGAAATCACAGCCAGTTAAAAAAAAAGGAACTGTTTGGAGCTCATCAGCTTTTCTTTGCTGACAATGGTTTGAAATTATATCACATTTTTCATTGATATTGTGGACAAAACTGTCTTAAACCTTTCAGCAGGAACTGCTTCCAATAGTTTTGATACCCGCATATATCTCAAGCAAGTATAGGGTTAATGAGACACCAAAACTTTTGTTCTATGGTTCAGTGCAAAATTTGAACCCATAGAGCATACAGTATACTTTTATAGAACTGCAAGATACTGAATTTCCATGTCTCCACTCCAGAATCGCTAATCATACCCAATAAATAAGATTCGCAAAAACTGGTTTCTCAATTACAATCAGTAATTCAAAACTTAAGCAACTCATCAATATAGTGACAGTGTATTCCCAGAAAAGCACTACTAATTGCTTTTGTTATGATGTTCAAATTTAACAATAAAACTTCTATATTTGAAAAATAAGCAAACTGAAAAAGAATAATATTAATTGCAGCTTCTTTTTCAATGAAAAGATATCTCTCTAGTTTTTCCTAATTAGATTTTCAAACAGAAATTATCATTTAAAATTAAATTTTAAAAATAACAGATTTTCTGCGGTCAAAACAATATTCTAGAATTATTATATAACACTTAAAACTAAGAACTAAACTTTGTGAGGAAGAATAACAAATGCAAAACCATAATTCGAAACATAGAAGGAAAAATGAAAGGTAAAATTAGAAAGAGAAATTACCGGTTGTGCATCAGAAGTAGGATCTCTGACGTTCTGAATGGTAACACCAAGTCGGAGGAATCCGAGTGGGTTCGAGTCAACTCAGGTACACAAGACTGAGGATCCAAAAAGCGCCGACTCGCAAAAGGAAAACTCCGCCGGAGATGATCTCCCATTGTATTTTCTTTGAAAATCGAACAAGAAAACGTGAAAATTTCACTTTACAAAGAGGGAAAGAAATGGGTAATTTAGCAGAGAAAATGGAGGAGAGGCCGGCGATGTCGAGGTGGGGGACGGGAGCCAATAAAGACTCCACATGGCGACGCTTTACACGTGTCAATATCGTCTCTATGCGCCACGTCATCAAGAACGATAATATCTTTGGCCAATGTCAACCAGATATTTATTTTTTCATCCCGGCTCTCCTACGTCTCTGCAAATTGGGATATTCCGTGTTCCGCAACTGGGATTCACGCGCCTTTACGCCTCTGTACTTTATATCCTCTTTGTTGGTGCATTTTTAAGTTCTACGGCATTTTGCAGAATTCCCAATTTTATTTTTTTCGAAATTTCAAATCGTGATATATAGTTTTTAACAAAGGCGTTTAAACTATATCGTTTTTTCACCAATATATAATTAAATTATTTTTTAAATGATCTTGATATTTAATACTATAAATGTTATTAATTTTAATATTTGAATCATCAATGGTGGTAGTTTTTTTCGTTTAAGTATCACGTGTGACAATATGTTAATTTTAAAAATATATTTAAAATAAAAAATAAAATTATATTTTAAAAAAACAAATTTTTTTGAAATGACTCAAAACCTTGATAACCTTCATTTCAATTCGTAAACCCACGTCAGTCATCTCCTTTTGTCGTCAACGTAGCTCTACCGACCCCATCTCCCCCATGCGACTAAAAACCCTATGAAATTGTAATTGATCAACGGGAAATCGACGTTGTATACCTCATGCACCGTAGGATGAAAATTATGATTCAACTTGTTTACAACAACCAATCGCAGTAACTACGACAATGTATGATTAGGATGATGACAGAGACTACGTTGGTGACGGTTGTCATGGTCGAAAAAGACGAAGGTGGTGGGTTAGGGTTATGATTTGAGGATTTTAGAGTTTTTTTTTTGCAATTTAAGAGAAATTAAGGTTTTTTATTTTAATTTTTTTAGTTTTTGACCTAAATTTTAATGTTTATGCATGTAATTTAAAAATGCAAATGATATCTCTCTAACAATTGATATTAAATTTTTTCAAATGCATAACATTTTTGGAAAGCTTTATGCATATGCACTTAATTTCAACAATTGATATTGTATAAAGTATTTTAGACTTCCATATATTTAATTTCATGCGCTAGTCACATGTTTGTTATTCTTTGTTGAAATTCAATTTTGTTTAAGTGTCAAGCATTTAAAGTCAATTTTTTTATTTGGAATGCACTTTTTAAGGGGATCTTTGATTTTTCAAATGATTTTACTTCAAAATTTTCAATTACTCTCTAATGTTATTTTAGAACTTTAAAGTTAAATTATTTTTGATTTAACAAAAAAGGAGAGAAGTATAGTTTGAAAAATTCAATTTCTTAATGAAAAAGGAGAGCTGAAAATTTTTATATTTTTTCCCAACAATTGTTATCATTTTTCATTAAATATTTTATTAAGGGAGAGTTTTGCAAAAAACAAATTTTCAAATATTTTGTTATATAAAAAAGGGGAGACTGTTGAATTATGTTTTGATATAACAATTTATTACAAAATGTTTTTGGACATGAATTGAATTTATCAAAGTTTTCAAAAATAATTTAAAGTCCATTTAACTTGGAATTGAGCACAAAATATTTTTTTGGACAAGTAGTACCGATATTGTTCTTACAGTATCAATACCTCATGAACAGTACCAATATTGTTCATATGGTACCGATACCAAAGATAAGTGAAATATCGATACTCACTAGGTTGTATCGATACTATCAGCTTTGCTCAAATTTTAGAATGCAAAAATGATACCGATACCCAAAGGGGTACCAATACTACTTTACATAGTAGTATCAATATCATAGTCTTAATATTGATACCATCAGGCCCAACGGCTAGTTAACAACTTGTTTCATTTAAAAATATAAAGGAAGTACCGATATTCCCTATATGAGTACT